AAATTTTGGTGTAAACAATACATCCTCACAAAAGCAAATTGGCAATGTAGCTTCCAATTTTAAAAAATGCATGCCCGGTAAACTTATAGAACCAGAAGCAGCGTGTGAGCCTCTTCCCTTCTGTGGCCATCACCGAAGCGCCACCGGCCAGTATGAAGTTCAATCCCTTTCTGACTTCTGACCGGAGCAAGAACCATAAAAGGCATTTCAATGCACCTTCACACATTCGCAGGAAGATTAAGTCTTCTCCTCTTTCCGAAGAGCTGAGACAGAAGTACAATGTTCAATCCATGTCCATCAAAAAAGATGATGAAATTCAGGTTGTGCAAGGACACTACAAAGGGCAGCAAATTGGCAAAGTAGTCCAGGTTTACAGGAAGAAATACGTTATCTACCTTGAATGAGGGCAGTGGGAGAAGGTTAATGACACAACTGCTTATGTGGGCATTCACCTCAGCAAGGTGGTTTTTACTAGACTAAAGCTGGACAAAGACCATGAAAAGATCCTTGAACGTAAAGCCAAATCCCTCTGAATAGGAAAGAAAAAGGGCAAATATAAAAAAGAGATAATTGAGAAGATACAGGGGTAAAGTAATCTTATATATAATTTTTATTAAAAACTTGTAAAAATGAAAAAAAAATGCATGCCCTTTGAGCCAGAATTTCTAGGAACATTTCCTAAGGAAATAATCAAGGGTGCACCAAAAGATTTAGTTCCAAGGGAATCCTTTGATAGCAAATATTGGAGAAGCCTAAATGTCCATTAGTCAAGAATTAATTAGCAAAACATGATATATCCACAATGAAAATGATTTGAAGACTTTGGGAAAAAACAGAGTCGTAGAAATACATCCACAGTCGTGGAAAGCTGTTCACTACTTATTATTGAGTGTAAAAAATAAAAGGGAAAGTTTTAAAATGATCATGGAGTTTAATGCAATGATTATTTTATACCACACTCTCTGAATATATACATATACATAAGGATATGAACAAACATGTAAGTATGTTTATCTCCTTGTAATGAGATTACTGGCACATTTTGCCATCAGTTTGTTCTGTAGTTTCTGACTTTTCTATAATGAATATGTATTCCTTGAGAAAGATGAAGTGAAAAAATTTTTTAGGGTTCTTTTACTTGAAAATGTTGGGATAAAAAGGACCTCATGACCAACCTTTCCCTCAGGAAGGGCAGCAGCAGAGGGAGGGAGACCTCAGACATTCGGGTGTATTTCTGCCATATTTCTGGATGAGCACAATTGTGAAAGTTCAGAAAACACCAAACTCTTAGTTCTCCCGGGACAGGCCAGGGTGGAAGGGAGTCACGACTTGCCTATCTGATTGATGGGGGAGCAGACGTGACCACAACCCTTCCTGATGCACCGTTTTCCTTTCCCACAGTCCCTGCTTCCTCTGCACTGGTGCCTGACGAAAGGAAAGACTCAGTGAGGCGTTTTTAAGTCTTATGGTTCGAAAATAAAATTTAAAAATGTCTTTCTAATGACATCTAATATCAACAATTACCTAAGTATAAATCTAACAAATTATGTTCAAAAAACTACATTATATTACTAAGAAAACACTTTAAAACATTCTAATAAATTGAGTGATATGCCATGTTCATGGATTAGAAGACTTGTGATTATGAAGATGTCAGTTTTCCCCAAATTGAAATTTAATATAATTCCATTCAAAATCTTAGGATTGTTTAAATAAACATTGATAAGCTGATTCTAAAACTTATATCAAAATTCCAAAAATCAAGAATAATCAAGATAATCTTTTTTTTTTTTTTATTTTTCAATTACAGTTGACATACAATATTCTATTAGTTTCAGGTGTACAACATAGTGATTAGACATTTATATAACTTACCAAGTGTTCCCCCTGAATCAAGACAATGTTAAATAAAGTTGCTGGGGGTTCAAGGGAGCGAGGAAGAGGAAAAGAGGAAATTAGCTACTTTTCACTATCATTCTATTACTCAGAGTAGGACATCGATTGATAATAATCCCAGGAAAGAAGGGACCGAGGCTGGTACATAAAAGCCATAGTATAAGGTAACTCTTAAAAATATAAACCTTTCTAGGAAAAAAAATATGGTGTAGATGATAAAGGCTCTCTCTGTTCATCCCTCTGGTGACCAAATCAAAGTTGTGACAGAAACAAGGAGCGAACAGCAAGGAAAAATCTCCTGAGATCTAGATGAACAAGCCATATAACTAGGGAGAGAACGAAGAAATCACTCTGCAACAGCAGAAGGTAGGACAGGGTGAGGACGCGAGGCTGCCAGTCCCGAGAGGCTGAGTGGTATTGAAGCTGTGGCAGCATCAGATGCCTTTTAAAGGGGCCATGTCCACGAGTGGACTTTCGCAGTGACCTGCTCGTTCTGAGCACCAGCGCCAGTTAGGCTGTGCGAGGGGCACCAGGGACTTACTGGGAGTCACTGAGTTGTTGCAGTGAGAGCCAAGGTGAGACGCACTCTGTACAGAAGTGCCAGCAGTATCTATTGTTCCTCTGTTGAGCCCTCCCTCCTCCCAGTGCGTGGACTCAGTGTGGCCATAGCAGAGACTCCATCAAACTGGATAACAGAGGTCACTCTGCCCAGAGGATTCCCTGAAACTCTGCCTCCCCCAACTCAGGGCTCCACCCAAGCCACATCCAGGTGTGTCCTCTCTTAATTAGGTGCCTCTTGCTGAGCAGCGCCTAGACTCACACTGGTGGCAGCTGGCCTCGGTTTCTGGTGTGGCCTTTTGAGGCAACTATAGGCACAGCATCTGTGGATTGCTTGCTGAATCTTAACAGGTGGCCCCGGGAAGGCACAGGCTAGGGCTAAATTTGGCCTGCAGCTGAACCACTCTCAGGACTGTGCTACTGGACACTTACCACACAAAGCCTCACTAATAAGACTGAGAAATTTGAGAGCTTTGCTAAGTACATAGAAACAGACTCAGAAAGGCAGCCAAAATGGGAAGACAAAGAAGCAGAAACCATATGAGAGAACAGAACAGAGATCCAGAAATAATGGAGTCAAGCAATCTAACAGATGCAGAGTTCAAAACACTGGTTATAAAGATGCTCAATGAACTTAGGGGAAGTGTAGATGAATTCAGTGAGAACTTTAACAAAGAGATAGAAAAAATAAAAATAGAAATAGAAATTATAAAAGGGAACCAGTCAGAAACGAAGAACACATTATCTGAGATGAGAAGTATATTAAACGGAATAAACAGAATGAATAAAGAAGAAGATCAAATGACCTATACAGAGGATGGGAAAGCCAAGGGCACTCAATCAGAATGGCAAGAAAAAAGCCAAGACTATAATAATAATTTAAGGAGCCTATGGGACACTATTAAAGGTAAAAATATCCGTATCATAAGGGTACCGGAAAAAAAACAAGACGTTGAAGAGTTATTTGAAGAAATAATGATGGAAAACTTCCCTCGCCTGGTGAAAGAAATAGACATAAAACCCCCGGAAACTCAGAGAGTCCCAAAATTCAGGAACCCAAAAAGGCCCACACCAAGACACATCATAATTAAAATGCCAAAGGTTAAATACAAAGAGAGAATATTAAAAGCAGCAAGAGAAAAGCAGTTAGGATATCAAAAAGAAAAAATATATAAACCTTTCTAAATATGAAACATATAGTAAGAGAGAGGAAAAGGAAGACAGAGATTACACAAATAAAATAGGTTACACAATGAAAGATCATATAGCTAATAAAGAGGGAATAAAACTATAATAGTAAATAAAATAATAACTAAAAAGGTAAGATAAACCATATGATAAAAAAGAGTTCTTATCTTTTAGAGATACATGTAGAAATAATATGTAATAAAATAATTACATATTATTTGGAATTTGCTTCAAAATAACATGGGATGAGGGGAAGTGGATGAGATTAGCAATGAAAGATCACATGTTGATAAGGGTTGAAGCTGATCAGTACGTGGTCTATCATTATACTATTCTGTCTGCTTTGTATGTGTTTAAAATTTGCCATAATAAAAAGTTAAAAATAAAATATGCCGAGGGATGTTCAAAATATTTTAATGAGTAAGAAAATTAAAGTTATTAATATGTTTGCACATACGGTGAACCCCCATAAATAAGCAAGACTGGAGCGTGATGGGATTTGGGATGTGGATGACCAACCAATAAAGAAGATATCAATGCTAATATGTCTGCATCCCGATGCACAGGCTGGTGAGGCCATAGGCCATTTGGATTGTAAGATGTGCTGTATGAGAAGCAAGAGCAGTGTAAGGAACAAGGACATGCAGATATGGGATACAAACTTCAGCAGGTTAAGCGGGGGAATCTAGGTAGAAAGAAGTGAACCGAGAGGTCTGGGGAATGAAGATTGTAGCAGTCAGCCCAGACCATCATTTTTGTCAGGGCTTCTTTGGGAGACCTGAGTTTATCCTCTGCTTCAGATACAGTCTGATTCAGAGGCTCCACCCTCAGAGCCTATCTCCTAACAGTATCCTATCTCCTAATCACTCCAGCGCAGGAGCCGGCACTCCTGGCCTATGCCACGCAAAGCCCCACATCCCAAGGACCAGGGTTGCTCCCCTAGAGTTAGGCATGTGTTCCTGCTAAATGTCAGTGTGTTGCCTTAGAATGGGATATCTCCCACTTACTGCAGCTCCTGCTCCTGTTCCTTCTGAGTCTTGCCCTAATAAAGGCTGCTCCAACAGGTCTGCTATGTGCTAGGTGGTTATATTATTATTATTATTATTATTATTATTATTTTATTATTATTATTATTTGCTTGATAAAAATCAGATTCACAGAATGCCCTTTGCCCTGTCTAGAGACATGGACATGGAAAGAGAAAAAGAACTAGTTGAGAGGACCTTGCCTCTGATGTATTGGTATCCTGAGTGCCTATATTCATGGGCTTAGTGCAGTGTATATGGTCCTGCTCATCCACAGAGGGTCCATTAGAATGCTCAAATGGGAAGAATGACACAGACTAAATAATGCTACAGATACAGTTTATTTTGGACACAAGCTCTTTAGAAAGCAATCAGTCTGACATTTTAGATCTTCATCTTTTAGAGCTGCAATTCTAGGGATAGAGAATAGCCAGGAATGGTTTGTGAAAGGGTCTTGCTGGTATACCAAGCATTGGATTCATAAGAAATCTTCTGGGGCTGGTCTCCAAGCATGCCTTCTAACGTTCCATTATAGTTACCACACCGTCATCATTTCCACGCTTCTAAAAAGACAAATTCGATCATGACATTTTCTCTACTCGAAAACCTCCAGCAGTTTACCAAACTCTTTGGCAGGCAGCTCATTCCTCTTTGGACTCTGGCTTGGATGACCCTCTGTCATGCCCCTGCGATGCTGCACCTTCTACCACCACAGTCACTTTCCCATCTCCAATGGAGGGCCCACATTTCTTTCATCATCTCAACTGCCCTTCCTTCCTCCAGCAAATTATGCATCTTTTAAGCTCTCCATTAAATGTTCTCTAGTCTCTGACAACTTTCCCTATACCCGCCTACCCAAGAACTCTTCCCTTTGCTCCCACAGAACTTAGTAGAAATCCTGACACAGGAGATACTCAGTAAATTGGGGTTCGCTTTCCTTTCTCTCCTCCTCCCATGATCACCCATTTTCCAGGAAGAAATAAGCCCTGTTGGTGGGGGAGAGGAAGGAGGTTATTAATGGCCTATGAATCTAGGATCATGGTTACTTGTCTTAACTGAGAGATCACTGGATTGTCCTGGGATAGGGCTTCTCTTCTCGGAGAGGGCCTTAGATAATGCAACTAGATGTCCTTCTGCCATTTATTTCCAGCCCCTTTCTCTTGGAGTTATCCAGACTCCTGTGTGCAGTGGACACATGAGCATCAGCAAAGTCCACTGGGAAGTTGTTTGCATCTTTGGACAGCTCTTAAGTGATATATACTCACTCTGAAGACAGGATGTTTGCAGACATGACCACATCCATTGCTGCAGCATTTCATTCCCCTGGGACATGATCTATCTCTTGTGCACATTTCAGCACAAATCCCAACGGCTCCTTTGGGCACCTCTGGGCAGACTCTAGATCTTTGTAATCCTGAAACATATAATGTTTTATGTGGAGTCTGGAACAGTCACTAAAACAGGCATGAGAACTGGTGTTGGAAGTCCGAAAGCCTCATCTCTGGCAGAACTTCCACCTCTGCCGTTTCTTCCTTTGTGCTCCTGTATTCCTCCCTCTCACTCTTCAGCCCCTATTTTCACAGTCAAGCCCTCGGGAGAATTTTTACCTATTCCAAGGGCTGCACAGTCCCAGCAGGCAAGAAACCTGCACTGTCATAACCCACTTCTGACCACTTTGTAAGAAGAAATTAGAAAATCTCTGATCACAGACAGCCATCTCCCCACCTCACACACCCCATGTTCATCCCACAGCTACTCTCTGTTGGAGTCCCACACCCAAGGCAAATTTCCTACCTAGAGAGAACCCAACTTCTAATCAGACCCAACCTGACCTGATAAGAAGAATGGGAATGCAGGGTGATTGCTCGAGTAGGTCAAAAGAAATGGATCTGATCAATGCCAAAACTCCACTCTGCAGTCGGCATACTGCCTGCTTCTGTGCCAAACTACCCCCAGGTCTGAAGCTGGGCTCTGAGCCTTCTCTACTCTCTGGTAAGACCCGCCTCAGCACTCTCACCTCTGGAAAGTCTCTGAGAGCAGACCATCTCCATCCCCAGAGTGATGAAAACCACTAGAAGAAAGACCGTGCCTGTCTTCATATTGGCATTTGATGTGAACGCACACACAGAGCCCAGCCCCAATTTATACTCAGAAAGGAATGTGGGGTGAAAGGCAATAGGGCAGGAGGATATATAAACATTGGCTCTCTAGGGAATTCCCCTGGATGATCTAGATTGTTCTATTTCACAACTTATTTTTCTCTAATCGTTTTCTTGGAAATGCAAGTATCAGACAGGAGCATTCCAAAATGCTTTGTGCATTGCTACATTACAGCTTGGCACTGGTTTCCCTAGTGCCTTTAGGAACAGTAGCCAAAGAAAAAAACTTCCTCTGTGTAATTTAGAATTCAGAGTAAGAGCTTAAACAATAAAGCTAGGTACTCTTCATCGGGGCCCATCTGGGGCTTCCTGGAAGTCCATTCCAGGAGGCTTTGACATGCTTCTGGGAAAGTTGGCGAATTTGTGCTTTGAAACTGCCCGGGGCTGAGATCCCTAAGCAGGGGTGGAATGCGTGTCACACTTTATCACAAAGGTAGTAATAAGAAGAAAGTAAGGTCACTCATCCAAGGAGATGGATGTTCAAAGATCGCAAGCTGGCAGGGCCTTTCGGGATTAAGAGACAGGGTCCATCTTGATGGTTTGTGGTCTCTGAGCCTATCCTGCTCCATACTGAAAGGTTCTTAGAGAGAGAGCTGTGTTGGTGAGCTACAATGAGCTGAACACAGGAGAAGAATACTAAATGTTGTACAGGGACCCCAGTAAGAAGCCGCCCTCCTTCCTACCACAGTTACAGAATCTTAGAGAAAGGGGTGTAGAGATAAAACTCCAATGACCATGGAAACAAGAAAAAGCCTGTTTTGTACTTGGTGGTCAGAGCTGGGTCAAGTACCTCATGAGCGCCTATGGGGAGGCCTGGATAAGCTACCCGAAGCGTAGAGAAATTCGAAGCAAGCCAGTATATTCTCATACTCCCTTCAGGATGTATCCCATTTGTGAGGCAAAAAACTCTCACCCCAGTTATGTAAAAAATTTAGTTAGCAGACATTAAGACAATATAATCTGGTGTTTGCTACTCTAGCACTTGAAGTTTCCAGTATGAGGCAAAGAGTAATTAGGGTCTATTGCAGTTATGCCAAAGTGTGCATTTCAGTAATGGGAGCTGCAAGGTTGCTAAGCAGGGCCTCTCTTCAATTATAACAACAATACTTGACCTTTATTAAGCACGCGATTGTACGTCAGACCCTGTGTTCGTACTTCACAGCTGTCATCTCACTGAAGCCTCATAAGCCTATGGGGTTGCTTCCATTGGCAGCCCCATGTCACACATGGAGAAACTGAGACTCAAGAGAAGTTCATGCCTTGCAAACACTTCAACCCCATCTTGGGCCCACTGATGGGGAACCTCCAGTGGTGGACTTCAGGAAAGCTCCCCAGTTGCTTTCATGCACATAGAAGTGAGGAACAGTTCACCTACTCAATAAAACCTTCATTTCTTTGTGAAAAGAAAAAAAAAAAGAAATGTCTCCATAAAAATTTGATTTCTAGTGCTCTACTAACAATCACAAATTTGAGCATTTGGCAAATTCTCATGACATATTATCATTTGATAATATTCAGGTGTCTGCAACAACTATCAGGCATATATAAAAAATTAAGGTTGGAACAGTATAGAAGTTCCTCAAAAAATTAAATATAGAATTATCATATAACCCTGCAATTCCACTTCTGAGTATATACTCAATAGAATTGAAAGCAGGATCTCAAAGAGATAGTTGTATACCCATGTTCATAGCAGCATTATTTGCAATAATTAAACATGGAAACAACCCAAGTGTCTATCGACCGATGAGTGGATAAGCAAAACGTAGTATACATATAATGGAATATTTCTTAGCCTTAAAAAGGAAGGAAATTCTCCAATATACCACAACATGGATGAACCTCAGGGACATCATGCTCAGTGAAATAAGCCAGTTGCAAATAGACAAATACTGTGTGGTTCCACTTATATGAAGTACTCGGAGTAGTCAAATCACAGAGACAGAAACTTTAAAGGTGGTTGCCAGAAGCTGGCAGAGAGGGAGCAGAAAATGGGGAGTTGTTAACAGGTATAGCGTTTCAGATTGACAAGATGTGAAGAGTTATGAGGATGGATGGTGGTGATGGCTGCACAACAATGTGAATGTATTTAATACCATTGAACTGTACACTTAAAAATGGTTAAGATGGTTAATTTTATGTTACGTGTATTTTAACACAATAAAAAAAAAATTAAGGGAAAAGACTGAATCCAGACGTTGGGAATCCCAAACATCCTCAGCCTACAAAACCCACCCTTTATACCTATAGTCATCAAAGGTTTATTCTTTTTTTTTTTTTTTCAGGCTAGTATGTAAAACCTGGAGGGTGCAGCAGATGGAATTCCATTTTTCCTGGAATTGTTTCATATTTCAAAAAGTCATTTCCTATCCCTGCCAACACCTAACCAGGTGCTCCACCCAACAGTCCCAGACCTTGTTCATGTTGCATCTTTGTCCTGGTTCTTGAAAAGCTGAGGATAAACACCAAGACATTTTGTTAGAGAGCATGAGAGGTCATAGACAATAAAAATTTAAAAATCAGGTGGCACAGATCTGGCCAAGGAGGTCTCTTGGGCACAGGTGAGCTTCTTTACCTTTCTACGTTACAGGTAATATTTTGTAACAGGTAATATTTTGAAAAATGTATAATGTGCCGTATCTTACTCCCCCAATTCTTTATACTTACTCCCATTCTCCTCTGTTGCAAGCCTTCAGTTGTAAACTAGACTCACTGCCCTCGGGGGAGGGCAGACATGGCTTAAAAAGAAACAAGTCAATTGAGTTCCTCAGTGGGTTTTTCTTAAAACTCTAATTGACATTACAGCTTTGAAAGCACAGGCTTTCCATTTGAAGACCTGGGCTTCTTGAGAGAAAAGGATTTGAGTTAGGGAACAGAGGATGTTTATAAGACCAAGCCTCAAAAAAAACTGGGGGTAGGGTTGATGCCATAAATGACGCGTGTATTTTTTAAATCTATAATGATTATAAGAGCTAGTTTCCCACATATTGGAAAAGAAAGTAAGATAGACACTAGTGGGAGAATAAAGTGACAAAAGTGAGGCAACAAGTTAGACATCTGAGAATGATCCTAATCGGGCCCCAACCCTGCCCTGGAAGAGTGTGGACTACAGGGAGCAGGAGGGAGATGTGGCCCGAGAAGACTGCCGGCCTTTCCAAGAAGCCCCAGGCCTGGAGGAGCTTAGAGTGGGACAAAAAGGGGCAGAGTCATAGACTAGACCCAGAAGGTCATGGGAGGACAAGTGAAAAAGCATAGAGGTAATGCCCAGTGACCAAGGGCTGAGATGCACCTCAGCAGATGCTAGCAGAGGTCAGGAGACAACAAAGAGCAAGATTCCTGAGAGCCCCACAGCCTAATCACACACCCTCTAAGATGCAGATGGGCCCGAGAAGAATAGGAGAAGGAGAAAGAGAAGAAAGAAGCATGGCAGGTGCAAGATTCTCAACTGGAAAAAAAAAAAAATCAGGAAGCAATTATGTTTACCTTGGGGCCAGATTAAATTAAAAGAAATGGGGACTGCAGAGTTGGGTTCAGTCGTGGAGAAAATAAAATTACATTTTTTGTATCTCAAACGCTGTGACTTTGAAATTTATAAGCATCACGTGAAATAAGCAGTCCTATGAAACCTATCAAAAATGTTTCCGGCAACCCCTTAGTTAGAGAATCGAATAAAGGGAAGAGAAGTTAGCATTTTCAAAGCTTCAGGAATTTAATGGTCAGAATTAAACCGTCCCAGAGCACAGTTGTGGAGAACTTTGTAAATCTAGACATATAGAAGGAGAAATTGAAAGCACCTCAGGATAAAGGCTAGAAAC